TTATAATTTTTAATGGTGTACTCTTATTTTGAATAAGCAGATATAAGAAGCTCAATGTCTGTACTTTAAATTACATGCTCCAGGGAAAGAATTAGCTGAAAAAATATCTACAAAGCCTCAGTTGATTGTTCTCAAATTGGTCTTAAATTTTTGTTTTTAGAGAATGTGATTGCTCTGTAGCTACACTACAGAGAGCAAAGAAAACACTTCACAGTGAACCAGTCCTCTTAGGCAAAACACTGTGGAGTGAATATTTATATTGGTAAGTACTTAGAATAAATGGAGACAGATAAAAATACCCTCAAATTTTATTGAAAACCATGCATATTATCTCAGTGGATTTTCTGGTCATCCTGATAAATCATTCTATATATTTTTTGAATTATAATTTCAATTATTTCTACTATTTTTATTTTAGTTTATTTTTTATTCTGAACTCATTATTAAAAATTAATCTTCCCTTTCACAATTCATGACCTATCACTTATTTTTGATTCATATTGTTTTATACTCTGAACCCAGTAGAAAGCTATTTTAAAATTTATGACTTTAAACTGATGTCATGAAACCCCTCCCAGAATGGTTATTCTCCAGAAGTTTTCATAGCTATTTTCCCATGTTAACTTTTATTTCTAATCTATGTTGTATACATAAATATGCGTGATTTAAGTGTGTGTTTTGATTTTGTACTCACTGCCACATAAACATATTAGCCTATTTATTATATTTTAGGTGTCTTTGTGGTGACTTTTTGCTTAGTTTTTCTTATGGTGGATATTTGAGTATCTCTAAGTGTCCACATATATAAGTAGAATGTCATTTTAGATATTTATCAAATATATTTGTGCTTTTTTGGGATCATTTCATTTTCCAGAGGAATTAGGACTCAGGAGCTCACTTAGGGATTAGGAGTTAAGTTTCTAGATATTCAACCTACTAGGTTTATAGCTATGGAACTGGTCATAAACTTTCTAAACTTTTCTTTCATCAAATAAAAAATAAAGATAAAACTAAAGCATATATAAGAGGCAAAGAATATAACTATATTCTTTCCAAGATTGTGAATGAATTGTTAACTTCCAGAGTATTTAGTTCCCTCAATTTCTTAAGCAAAAAGGAGCAAAGTTGAGTTTGTTGCTTATGTAGGGAATGTTGAAATATACTGTTCAGCTACAGATTATCAAAGAGATGACTGCTAGTATTTTACAAGGGTTGGAGGAAGAGTAGAATTCAATGATTGGTGTACTTTGAGAAAAATAACTGTATTGATGCTATCTGCAGAGCCATGGTTTCTCAAATGACAATATCATTTATTAATTAACTTTCAGATGTGTGTTCTTTGGATCAAGTCTTTTTCTGACCAACTGATTTTGAAAGTTGAGGTTTTACCAATAGGTTGACTTGCAAATATTTCTTCATTGTGGTACATTGCCATTAATTCTTCAAATTTATGTAAAAGCTATTCTGCTGGTTTCTAGAAATGTCATTGTTTGAGAAAACAGTTTTAAAACTACGTCTACAGACCACTTG